CACACCAACTCTCCAATGCTTATCTCCCAATCTGGGTATCTCCATAGTCTCTTAGAGATGAACTGCTGTCCACTGTTTCAAAATTGCCATAGATTTGGCTTGACCCTACAGCTCCCTGTCTCATGTGACTAGTCCCACTGGAGTAACGAAGACCATTCATGTGGGGCTTTGTTCACAGTCCAATAAAAGGAAATGCATGTGCAGACTTCTACACCTGTACAAATTCCAGTTGAAAATTAACTGATTAGGGGGACCATTTGTGGTGTCTTAGATTGTAAGTTTGCCTCTTTGCTTGCTTCGTAAAGCATTGTGCATACTTATAGAGCTTTATCAATATGTATTCTATTGATATTGGACTTTTCCTCCCTTCTGTACCAAATCAACTGAATAAAATCATAACATCTGAAAAGGGAGAAGGAAACTTTTATTGAAGTTTTTCAATTTAATTTTAAAATAGAATCTTATTTTAAAATATCACAGTTCTTTGCTGGCAACAAAATCACCATAAGGTTAATCACAAACTCTCTTCCATTAAATGGTTACAACTTTTAGTGCAAACACAACTTTTTGCTATCGTCCCACATGCCCAAAGACACAGAAATTTTAACATCAGCTCTTTTAATTTTTAACAATTGAATAAACATGGGATTTTTTGTTTTAAACAGAGCACAAAATAAAAAGATTCCTAATTATGGAATATTCATAGTATTAAAGCTATTTGCTAATCTGTTAGGAACAGAATTATTTTGAAAGCACATTTTAAAGTGTTGTGTTAAGGACTTAACACTGAGACAACCCTCATTCCATTCCCCACGCAGGCTAGTAAGAGATGTAATCTGCAGTCTTTACTCAGGCTAAACCCCCAGTATCAGGCCCAAAGTTTGCAAGAATTTTACAGAGACACGTTTAAGTCTTTGGCAGTAGGGAGCTGACCACTTTGAGCATCAGTGTCCTTTGCCAGCTGGCCAAAGAGAGCACAGATGCGAGAAAAGCAAATTGTCTGCCCACTGGCAAAAAGAAATACTGAGCAGCAGCTAACAAGAAAGTGAGTGTGTGTGTATGTTGGAATAAATAAAATTAAATAGGAAATGTTTCCTGTTACATTCTTTGCAGTATCTATTTCTACAATGTTAGTGCAGCAACAAAAAAGCAAGTGTTCCTTCTCTAAAATCCCGTCAGACTGAATTTTAAAGATTAATTATGAAGAACGTAAGTACAATGAATAACAATATTCAAATAAAGCTACAAATGTTACTCCCTAAGGAAGTACCCAAACAAATAGTTCAATGGATCTTGGCAAATTAGGATAATTAGGTAATTATACTCTCTCCCTTTGGTTAGTTAAAGAAGAAATGCCTGTGGAAAGGACACTAATCATCAAAATTTGTTATAATATAAAAAGGAACTTTGTGGGCTAGCAGATATATGAGAAACGAGTTAGAAAAATTGATGGGACAGGAATTTGCAGCTCATGGGTTGGATTTAGCTGGGAGAGGGAGTCTTTGTATAGATTAATTAAATTCTTCAATCAAAGTCTTTTTCTCCCCTAACATATCCCACCATCACCATTACATGATCAACAGATTTTTATTAGAGGTAATGCTTTCCCTAACAAAATTCCACAGTGAATAACCTTAAGGTTGGATTTACTTTTCTAAATACTTCTTGCAAACGGTATGTAATCCAAGAGCACATTTGTTGGCTGTAAAGGTGTACAACAGCAATTTTTGCAATGACAGTGCAGAGAGGGAATATGAGATCTGTGTGCTAATGAGCTGACACTGCAGAGGCTAGAGCAATGTATTGTAGTGCACTACAAGTGCAGAGCAGAAAGACATAGGCGGGTTATTTCTAGGGAATATGATCTACAGAACCTTAAGCATAATTCAACATTAATGCTAACACTCCATCAGAGGTTATAATATAAATCTGAAACATGCTTCAGTGATGAAGTTATACATTTCAGCTGTTACATTCAAATTATTTTGACAAAGACAACTCACTCCCTATGTGAGAAATTTTGAAGGAAAGATCTAATGTCTGTGTTTTACTTGCTTTTTATTTATATACAGCTTGAGTTACTTTTTCCACTGGTATTTTCCTCTGCAGATGGATGGGTGCATATTTTAAAATATGTAATAAATCAGCAAAACTTCACCAATAAACTTTAATTCGGTTTTTTCAGGGAAAAATTGAATTCTTAGTTGAGTGTTTTCTCTCTCTCTCTGCAGATATCATAAGTCTAAATAAACATATGGATGGACAGCTACTGTAGATATATCTGCTCAGTACTGAGAATGGAAGCAGGGTGTACAGAGACTAGATAAGAAAACCAGATTATGCAGTATTTTAATTGAAACGGGGGATTAGAGGGAGTTTGGGGCAGGGGTTTTCTTGCCCCTGAAGGAATTCCCCCCCTCCCCCTTGGGATATTGCTAAATCACCCCTAGCAGAGGTGGCTTTTTATCTCTGTCTTGTAAAGATATTTATAAGAGACTTTTCTTTCTTCTTCTAGAACGCACTAGACTGCACCAAGTGGGATGTATAGTCTTATCAAAACATTTTTCTGAGTAGGATGCCCCCTTGATTCACTCTCTCACTCACACACCCCTACCTGCAAATACTTCTAATTCAAAACAGCAGATTAACAGCATTTGATGGTTTATGGATATTGACTAAAACCCACAGTATGCTTGGACTACATATAGGACAGTCACTGTTTTCCCCCTCAATTCCTTTCCAGCAGCCCCTCACAAAGTCAGTCACAGGGATTCTTACTGGCGATGGGAATGAGTGGAGTCACTGCAGGTTTCTCGAATGTGGATCCCTGCCAATTGCAGATATCGATAAAAAGGTTGTGTGACAGCACTTGAGACAATTTATTCTCATTTTCAAGAGGAGTAAAAATGTTGAGAGAGGAACGTTCCTTCACTAATACACTGCCCCCTGAAATTACCTACTACTCCATTAGGGAACGACAATCTGATTGGGGATACTTAGGCCAGACAGTTTTACATGTGAGCCATGTAGTGTGAAGAGCCATTAGTTCATCCTAGTGCATTGGTATGTATGAGCATTCCGACTTTCAAAGATAATTGCTTGCAGAGCTGAGAAGAATGACAGCCCTTCTAGTTATTTATTTGTAACTGCAAGGACCTTCAGTGTTCAGAAGGTAGGATTGTAAATATTCTTCTTCTACCAGTATATGAGGTCAGTGTCATAGACAGACCCAAGGTCACCTTTTCATTTCCTCTCTTCTATTTATTTACCCTTAAATGTTATTGTTCAATACACTATCGAAGTTGATATTCCCTGTACTAAGGTGCTTCCAGGGATTTAACTTTTTCCAAATTTCACTACACGATAATATGTTCCCTAGAATATGCAGCACCATTTTCAGTTTGCTACAGAAAACCAACTCATAAAATTGCTAAATTACCATAATTTTCACATGCTAAGCAACCCTCAAACATGGTTAGCTGTAGAAAGATTAGCAATGCACTGACTAAATAATAAATTGTCCGTTGACCAAGGGAGCACAGCCCACTTATCTTAGTGGCATCTGTGAAGAGGAACATATAGAAGTTTAAAAAAAAAATCCAATTTAATTATTAATCAGCCTTGCTGTTTAATGTATTTAGTTTTAATCCATATAATTGATATTTAGGAAACTATATTTGAGATACAGCCTCTTGAAGGGATTACACTGATTAAGGATTAACAGCCAGATGTTTGTTGTAAGAGCTGTTGAGGCAGGATAGGATTAGTAAAATAAGATGCAAAGAACAGACATACTTTTTTGTGCCTTTTTAACACATTACCAAATATTATAATTGGGTATCTTAGATTTGTAAATCCTAATCCCAAACCCCTTAAAAAAGGCTAACTCTGTACTATTAGGAAGGAGGCACATGGGGTATGTATTAGAATAGCAATCCACATATTTCACAGAAATTTCTTTACAGTATACTTTCTAACTGTCAAGTTTCTGGCCAAATATTTCAAATCCAGAGGAAGCTTAATTATCTGGTCATCCAGCCTTTCTAACAAAATATGCATTTAAATTATAAAGATCTAGATAGGAACTGTACAAAAACGATATCACAAAACAAACACATTAAATGCTCTCTAAATTAGCAGTTCAAGATATGAGGTCTTAAACCTACAAATAACCATGTAGTACTGTGTATTAGTACAATGCTTTCTTTTCAGAAAACTTTCCCCGTGTTCAAAACTGTATAACAACTTCATTCAGATATAACCACTATTATGGGTAATTTAACAAGTCTTGCTAAATGCAGAACACACACCAAACTTTCAGGCAGGGATGTTGTTTCTAAACACACAGACACTCCCCTCCAGCCTCTAGTTTGCATTGATTGCTACTGGAGAATCAAATTATATGTAACTACTGCATGAGCAGAGCTATTTTTCAAAATGCTAAGTTTTCTCTTCCCTTTCCCACTCCCCTCAGCTCTAACAGCATTCATCAGTTTGCAATCTCATTGGTTTTGATCAGGACTTTGTCAGGGGGGGGGGAAAAAAGATATTTTAGGACAGAAGGAGGCCAGTAAGCCCATCTAGCTTTGTCCCCTCAAGGTCACTTGAAAACAGCATTTTCCATGTTTTATTCCTACATGGTGTTACTTGTCAAATTATGCAATTATGCTTAACAAGAAAGTGATATGTATCATCAGCAGGGATTTGCTAAACTAAGACTATAAATCTTGGCTTTATAAATAAGTCTATTGCATCTCTGAAAACAATAAAAAAAATTACATTTTTAAAGGGGTGAAGAGAAGTGGTGATAAAACTTTCCCTAAGATATTAGTCAACCATGCAATGCTGCAAACCCATTGAACCTTTTGTCAGTACCACATTTGTTGCACTAGAGTACATCAAATATTAATCAGAGCTCCACTATATGAGGGAGAATTAAAAAAAAAATGCAAACAGGGACACCAGCACTCTAAATTACAGAAAAACATGTAGATACTTACAAGCGTTAGTCACTGAAAAACTGTTGGAGGAGTCCAAATGGTCTACATGATAGTTCAAATGGAAGGGCTTTTCTGTGATATTTTGGTTTGTGTTGTATAACTGCACAGCAAATCGAAATGCACTATGCTCCTGAACAGTATTTCTCATGAAAAGTCCACCTATGGTGAAAAAAAACCAAAGGACAAAGATTTGAAAAGGATTCCTTAAGAATATTAATATACAATAAGCTACATTTACAGGCTATATATAGCAGCAGTGAACGCGTGAAGCTAGAGATATGCATCTAGTGCGCATATTAAATATGTACTCCAAAATTGTCAGTCCTGGGTGCCTAAAGCCAGGCTCCTAAAGCCATATACAGGCGTGTAAATAAAGAAGTGCCCTGCTTTTCAAAGGTGCTGAGCACCCCAAACTCCCACTGAAATCAATGGGAGCTGCAGGTGTTCAGCAGCACCTTTGAAAAACAGGCCACTTTTGTTTAGGTCCCCAAATGTGGATTTGAGGGACTAAATATGGGCATGCCCCCTCCCTGCTTTTCCCATGTACCGTGTGCTGCTTTAGGGCATGATTTCATATGAACATAGATCAAATCTCCCTTTGGGTACTGAGGTGAACAGAGGAATTCAGCATGGTTTGGAGTCTCTTAACTCCCAAAGCCCATAGGCGGGGAACTTTTTCCTACAGCTAAATAATAACGAAAACTACGTTCATAAAGCTCCCCTCTTTGTGCCATTAGAAGCCAGGCAGGCAGGAGATTGATTATTTGCGTGATTCTGTTGCACTGCCCTGCTCTCCCACGCACGGTGCCAGCCTAGGGCGCACAAAGCCCTCTGGAAATGGCACGGAAGTCCTTCCACACTGCTGTTTATTTCTGTTCTGTTGAAAACAAGGCAAGTTGATCCTGGGAGGTTTTTACAATTTCAGAAGAAACCACGCTGGTGACTTCCAGGAATGTGCCCAATGGAAAGGATAATACAATCTCCCACCTCCATCCCCAGAGAAAGTCCCTCTCTTCCGAAGACCACCAGGGATCTAGGAGAGCAATGCACCCCCCCCCCATTGCCTTGCTTTAGCCAGACCCCTGCCTTTCCCCCCGCCCCACCGGGGCGGGGGGGCGTATCTAGGTTTAATGCCTCGAGGTAAGAGAGTTGCAGATTAAAATGCAAAGGAGATGAAATAACTCGGCTCAGCTCAAGTTCCATTTCCGAAAAGATGGTGCTTACTTACCTATGCTGATGGTGTTGGGAAAGCCTCCCAAAGACTCCCCCAAAAGACCCGCCACCAAAAGCAGGAGAGTCTGAGGCACGGGTTGCCCCATTTTCTTCAGCCCCTGCAATTCAATTCCTAAAACGAAACTGACAGAACAGGCATGGGCGCAACGGGAGAGGCAAGAAAGAAGAATAATGCTGGCGAGGAGGCGGCGGAGGTTGCAAGCCCTGTCTTCTGTCTCTTCGCCCCAACCGGGAAGGGCTCCTGGATTGCGAGGCTGGCTTGCTCCCCTGTCCCTAGCCACACGCGCAGACCCCCCCCCCAAAAAAGCGGGACTTCCCCCAAAGATGGTGGGTAGAGACGAGAAAACGATCGCCCCCCTCCCCGTCAGAGAGGCTCCTCCAATTGGGCCGGGATGGGGTTATTGATCAAACTTGATCTGACGTTGAATTCAAGCCGCACATCCTTCGGTCCTCCCCGCAAACTGCAGCCCCCAGCCTGCAAAGCCCCAGCGCTGGCGCTCGGCCGCCTCGGCTGCAGCCCCGAGATGCAATCAATAGACACACACCAGCCTCACGTGGACCAGCCTTTAAAGCTGCATTGCCCGTGTGTGTGTGTGTGTGTGTGTGTGTGTGTCGTGGGAGGCGGAGGGGGAGGGGGA